CACAGAACAATGTTGTTTGTTTGTTTGTTTGTTTGTTTGTTTTTTCCCCAATGCGTAGCGAAGGGTTCTCGTTTAACTCTTGGGGGTCTGGGGGTAGAGCTTTGTTCGCGACCCGTTGCTTCTATGTTCGCAACCGTCCGCAACCGTTCGCAACCGTTCGCAACCGTCCGCAACCGTTCGCAACCGTCCGCAACCGTCCGCAGTAGAGCGCTAAGGCGCTGTCATTGGGGGAAGCTTTTGCAAGTGACCAGGCATGGATGCGTCATGTGTTAGTTTGCGACGCGAGTCCATTGTGATTTGCGTGAAAAGGACATGTCGCGCAAGAAGCGTGATGCATTTCGCTGCACAGCGGCAGCATTTTGTGAGATCCGCAGTTTGCTACGCAGTTCCATTGGGATTAGCGTGTGGAGAGTCGTGTTTTTGGGGTGTTGGATGTGGCCGTGCCATTGGGATTTGCGTTTCAGGATGTGGCGTCGAGGCTCTGTTTTCGTGACAAGTCTCAGCTGAAATGCCGATTTTGGTGGATGGGAGTGTGCTCAGAACGGGTCGAAATCATTCCAAACGTGTGGTGTGGTGCAAATTTTGTTGAAGCTCACATGAGATGACATTGTTACTTTTCGTGGCCGGCGCAGGACTTTGTGCGGGTTTTGAGGTGTGGAAGTGGGATTTTCGTGGCAGGCGCAGGGAATCGTGAGGTTGCGATGTGTGACGGAGGTGACATTTCGTGGCAGGCGCAGTACTTTGTGCGCGTTAGACGTGTGGACGCGGAAAGATTCGTGGCCGGCGCAGGGAATCGGGAGGTTGTGAGTTGTGGTAGAGGTGAATGTCGCTGTCACATTGGGATTGGCGTGTGAGCGGGTGTCGTTTGGAGGGGCTGGAATCGTGAAACTGCTTGGCAGGGCTGCGTGATGTGCGTGCTCCGATGGGTGTTTCCGCTGGACTTTTGGAGGAAGTCTCGCGCGGAACGTTCGTTTTGCAGACTTTGACATGTGAGTTTTTGAGGAAGTCTCGTACGAAACGCTCGTTTTGGGGACTTGACATGTGACTTTTGGAGGAAGTCTCGTACGAAACGCAGACTTGACATGTGACTTTTGGAGGAAGTCTCGTACGAAACGCTCGTTTTTGAGACTTGACGCGTGACTTTTGGAGGAAGTCTCGAACGAAACGCTCGTCTTGCAGCCTCGCAGCGTGACTTTTGGAGGAAGTCTCGTACGAAGAGTGTGCCCTACAGGAGTGTCCCACAAGAGTGTCCTACAAGAGTGTCCCACAAGAGTGTCCTACAAGAGTATCCCACAAGAGTTTCCGTCCCACAAGAGTACAAGAGTGTCCCACAAGAGTGTCCCAAAACACAGTGTCCCGTATGAGTGTCCCACAAGAGTGTTTCACAAGAGTGTCCCGCATGTCCCACAAGAGTGTCCTACAAGAGTGTCCCACAAGAGTGTCCCGTATGAGTGTCCCACAAGAGTGTCCCACCAGAGTGTCCCGCAAGTGTGTCCCACAAGAGTGTCCGACAAGAGTGTCCCATAAGAGTGACCCACAAGAGTGTCCTACAAGAGTGTGCAACAAGAGTGTCCCGCAAGAGTGTCCCACAAGAGTGTCCTACAAGAGTGTCCCACAAGAGTGTCCTACACAGGTGTCCCGTAAGAGTGTCTCACAAGAGTGTCCCACAAGAGTGTCCAACAAGAGTGTCCCATAAGAGTGACCCAAGAGTGTCCTACAAGAGTGTCCCGTAAGAGTGTCCCACAAGAGTGTCCTATAAGAGTGTCCCACAAGAGTGTCCGACAAGAGTGTCCCGTAAGAGTGTCTCACAAGAGTGTCCCACAAGAGTTTTCCGCAACCATGTCCCACAAGAGTGTCTCACAAGAGTTAAGAGTGTCCCACAAGAGTGTCCTATAAGAGTGTCCCGAGTGTCCCACAAGAGTGCCCTACAAGAGTGTCCGGCAAGAGTGTCCTACAAGAGTGTCGCATAAGAGTGACCCACAAGAGTGTCCTACAAGAGTGTGCAACAAGAG